CTGAATACCTGTAGAAAGGAAATACAGAGGGAGATACTAACTGGATGTATGGAAAAAAAAATCTCCACGAGTGATTAAACACTGAAACAGGTTCTTCAGGAAGGTTGCGTAATCTCCATCTCTAGACAGTCTCAAAAGTTGACTGAACAAGGCCATGAGCAACCTGCTCTCTGACTTAGAAATTGGCCCTGCCTTGTGCAAGAATTTGTACTAAATGACTCGAGTTCCCTTTCAATCTGCATTTTTCTGTAACTGTATATGCTTCACAGACATTCACTTTGCCAACAATACAAAGCATTCATTCAAGGTTAAGTATTTTACAGCATAAGAGATGGACATATTTTTCGTATCCAACATGAGCCACATAAAAACAAGGGATAGTGGGGAATTCTCACATTATAAAGCACAATTTGAAAGAGTAAAAATCTTTTCACATAAAATTTGGTTCCTTACTTCTGATAATAGAGTAAAAATAAATTTTAAAATTAAATTCTGAAAGCTTTAGAGGTTTAACATGATCCAACATAAGTGCTTTGTAACCTATGCTCTGGGCCAATCTAATATTTCTCAGTTCATACAAACTCTAAAAATTCCCCTCACAAACCCAGAGAGAATAATTAGGTTTGAACTCATTTTTTATAATATTAAAGCTTCTTAAAACTTGCATGCTACTACATGCCATATTAGAAGTAAAACCCACTTACACAAGTAAATCTTATCTACGGAATCGGAGAAAACCAGCCTAAACCATCCAGGTTCATAACAATAAAAAGCTTTTCCAGGACTAATCAGGAGCTTCTTATCAAGGAGCTTCTGCCATAATTCAAGTTCAGCTTCAAATGTCTGTGATCTTAAGAATTAAAAAAAGAAATTTTTTTTTTTATTAAAGGTTGAACAAGTGCATAAACTCATTGAAAGATATTTCCAGGACTTAATAAAGTATGTAATAACATGCACAATTAATTTTTATACTTCCAAGTTTTACATTCCCACCCCTTCTCAAACTTCTTACATACTTTTCTGAAGTCTGCCCACACATAGAGTCCTCCGGAACTTTTGAGCACGGGTATTCCAACATCTGCAAGCCCACCCACAAGAATATTCTGTGCTTCTTTAAGTCGCTTTTTGTTGGTGGGAAAAAACACATTATCCAACCAATCTATCAAAGCAAGAAAAATATAATTGTTTCATTTCCAGCTGCAAGTGAAAAATAATACAGTTCAATGGAAATATTTCTAGTGTGGCTAACCTCTGTCCCTAAGGAATTGACTGAGAACATGCTGAACAGGTCCAGGACAGCTGTGGAAGACAGCCAGTTGATTCACAGCTTTCCGAATTTCATGATTTCTGGTGTACAATATTCCAACTCTGATACCACTCATACCAAAATCCTTGGAAGACAAAAAGAAGAGAGCAAGGCGAGATTTTTACTTTATGTTTGTGCTTTGTGAAGCAACAAAGTCTAGAGTCATTGTGATGTATATTTACTCAAGAAAAACCTCTGGAGTAAATTCTCAACACTGCCAAATGGAGTCCCACGCATGACAAAAAACAGCCAGCAACTTCTAAACAATTCTGTGGCAGGGAGCTCACTGGCTTCAACAAAGTTGCTTTACAGACAACTGACAACATACTTGGCTCATACACTTGGGCTGTCCTCATTATAACCTACTGTTGTTTCCAAGCAGTCAGCAGTTTACTGTTCCCTCCAAGAGAAGAAAAGGCAAAATGTTACAGATCTGAAATGTGCTTGTATGTTTCAATGCCTTTAATATATACACACATTAACTGTTACTGTTAAGTAGATCCCAAATTAAACTCTGAACTTTAAAAAATTTTACACTACCAAAGAAGAAAACAAGATAATAAACAATGAGAAACTCAGTGTGGCATCTATAACACAAATTATGTCAGAATAGCCCAGCTAATTTTTGTGGAGAAATATCTTAAATTAAAACACAAACACAGTATTCTGTCCTACCTTGCTAAAACCCCACATAAAATGTGTCCATTCTGGATCTGGTAAACTGAATGAGAAAAGAAGAGGATAAGAACTGTTGCTATAGAGGAACAAAGTATTCAGTTTATAAAAATGTCTACATTTGTAAAATTGTAGCAGTTTCTTAGTAAATCCTTTAAAATGACATAACATGACATCCTTTAAGGTGATATGACAGTTTTTCAGAGATCTTTTAACAAAACGTTACTCTATGACACTGATCTGCCAAGTCTGTGCTGAGGCACTGATTTACAAAAAAAAAACCCAAAAACCCAAACAAACAAACAAAAAACAAACAGAAAGAATCTGCTCTAAGATGTAACAGCCCAGTTAAAATTCCCACATTCCCACTGCATAGTCAGTGTTCACATACATATTAAAACAAAAGCAGTATTTACACAACTGCTCTTGTCCTTGTCAGAGAACTGTTTGCTCAGCTATGCTGCACTTCAGGCTAGGGAAGGGAGAAGCGAACATTTTAGGGCATGCACCTACACAGTGGGCTGCCTCTAAACAAAGTACACCTCACTATACCACTGAAGATGATGGTTTTTTCTCCTTCATGTAAGCAGGGCCAAGACTGGAAATTTTCTTGTTCAGCCTAGTGGAGCTGGGTGAACTTTCACATCAACAGAACTATTTATTAGGCTTTGTTTATGATTCATGATCTTATATGGATGAGGGCTCACTTGGCTTGGATGGATGGACTTGGAAATTTCCCATCAGTATGAAATTTATACAAAGAAAATCACATACTTCTGGGGAAAGAAGTTTTATTAGTCAGATACCAATAGGTTTAAATATTCTTGAAATATTTATTCTTTTCATTACCTGTTTAGGAAACTAAGAGCACAACAACATACTAGTCGGGAAAGACACTCATTAGAGCAGGTAACTTGCACAACCTGAGGCAACTTCATTACCATTATAGTGAGAACTGTACATTACACTCAGGCTGTGTGACAGGGAACAACAAAGAAAAGCAAAGTGGCAAAATGACTAAGGGCTCTATCAATTTTTATTGTTATTACTGTACCATACACATTAGCTGGAAGGAAGAGATCTGCTGTTTAAAGCTGTCTGTGAAGAAGATCTCTTATATTAACTCATCTCATAGTTGCAAAGACTTGGATATGAGTTAGTTCAAGCTATAGCAGTTACACTAGCTAACCAGAAGTCTGAAAAAAATGGCATGGGTTCTATTTAGGGTTAAATATCTTCTAAGCCCTACTAAGAAATCACACTTACCGATCTAAACTAAGAACACTGGTGAAGGTGGTATCATCATAAACAGACAGCATGTATATTTCATCCATTATTACATGCAACTCATATCTATGTATAGAAAAATACAGGCATATTAACATATTTTAAAAGAATCTTAACTACTGCCATGGCAAAGTATCCATAAGTACACCTATTTGCTCTCATATTCCCCCTACAAATTTTACACAAAGAGGTCACAAGGTTTTGAGGTCACAAGGTTTTAAGGTCACAAGGCATGCTGTGAGCACTTGTGCATCACCAACTTCTATTTATACATGTTCTATATTTCTCAGCAGCAATAACATTCCACATATATGAAACAAAATTCAACTGCATGCTCAATCCAATGGCTTTCTGGAACATGCATGGTTCTACCCAAGTCTTATTTAAAGTTTAAAATGAACACAGAAATATATTATAAACCCCTTTACCCTGCAAGATTTGTTCAGTAAGACTGGAAGCCAAATGCAGATGTTAGATTTAAAAAAAAAGACTTGTCATGCACATAAAATAACTCTCCAGTACATTCTCACTGTGAAAATCACAGTAAACAGAAAGCCACATTATCATCCTTGATACCAACAAGCCATGTGCATATTAAGAAAGACTCAAAAAACTGCAGAATGGTTTTCAACACCCAAGTAGTGCAGGTACCTTCTTCTATGAAAAGCTCATTTGGTCTGATTGTTGACTTCTATATTTTCTTTTAAAAGGAAGTTTCATTTCAGAACAGTAAAATTATTGTTTCTAATCCTTATCCTCTAACTTTATTTTAGTACCAGCTTAAGTTGGTTGCATCCCGAAATCCATGGAGCGTGCTGAGAAGAGATACATTTGCTGTTCTAAAAATCTGGTGACTGGAAGTAGCACATTGAATTCTACCAATCTCCAATGCTGTTTCCATGAAAAAAATAATGCCAAAAATGTATTTGAAATTTAAATAAACCAGAAGTAGTCTTGGATAATTAATGAACAGTTAATACCAATCTACTCTGTTTAAGATCATCAGAAACTAAGTACTGTTAGCATTCAAAGTGTGTACAGACTTTGCAGTCACTCTTTGGCAGACCCTCACTGAAATAATAAAGGAGTACGTCTTTTCCTAGAAAAATACAGATGCTTTTCAAAAAGAAGTGCTTTTTCTCCATCAGTACCCAAGGGATTCAGGAGATTGTTAGAGCTTAGAACATGAACTCTGAGGTGAGTGAGGATAAAAGAAGGGGAATGGGGAAGAGACATTTCAAAAGTATTTTCCTTTGACAGAAAGTGAATTGCTTGCATGTCTCAAACTAAAAAGGTATAAAAGATGCTACAAAACTTCAGATCATTGGCTTACTCCTTACCAAGTCAATTACTTTCCCTCAATACCAAATGGTAAGATTTTCTTATTTTGATAATGTTTCATATGACAGTGCTGGTCATGTTTACTACTACTGTTAAAGACTGGTAATCACTTGTTTTCATTTTTCTGAGCCATGCATTGAAGCAGGTTAATAAAGAAACATTGTTAGGTAAATAAAAAGCTTTACAAGTTTAAACCACGTATAAAAGAAAAAAAAAAATCCAAACAGTATTTCATTCAGAAATACACTGTTGGATCCCAGGTTAAGCAATTTATCCTAGTGTTCCCAGAAAGGCCAATTAAAAAGGATAGTTACATGAGAAACATGATCAGAACCCTGTCCCTCACCTCCTCCAAACACGTACAAGCAAAGAACAGGCGGTCACCAAAGGTGATTTTTCATCACTGCTCTATTGCATTAACAGAAAATTAAATACCAAACAAATAGCACTAGGGCTCAAACCTGTGTGCAAACTCTAGGCATTCTTTCAGTAACTGTGCTGGGTAAATGTCCCCTAATGGATTGTGGGGGTTGATCAGGATTAATGCTCTGACTCGGATGCCCTGAAAAAAGAAAAACTGACAGTTGCAGAGACAAATAACGTCCAACCAGTGACTAGCGAGGACGCAGCGAGGAAGTTCCTGAACTCTTCAGTGAAAAGCAGCTTTTGAAAATTATTTTATTACATACTACAATTAGTATAGAGACTAAGGTTCCAGCTACCAACCTTGTTTCATAACTTACCTAATATCACTCCAAAAACCATACTAAATAGTTTATTGTAAATGAAAGTCAGGTTAGCACTCATTTGAAACACCCATTGATAGCAACAGGCAAGATTATGGTGTTGTAGGGATTAACATTGGTTCTACAGGCATACTTGCAAAATAATTTCCCAGGATTAAGTAAAGTTATTGTTGATAAACATGGGAAAGCTGAATAGAAATTGGACTTTGACATCTAATAACTTGACAAGTAATTAGTTTTTCAATGGTGCTTGTTTCTTTAAACAAGTAATAGAATCTGCAGAGGACTGAAAATTGAATTACTTGGTGTTCTGTGAGATGTGCAGAGGTCTTGAGCAAATAATTACTTTTTAATCATATTTATCAACAAGGCAGAATTTCTGTTACAGAAATTCTCTCTTCACAGAAGCTAAAATTTTTTATTCAACTATTTGAAGGGACTGTAAATATTCTACTGTGTAATAAGTCTCACATGGTCAAAAAATAGTTTTCAAGTACAAACATAACCAGTCTTTTTAATTCTACATGCATTTTTCAGAAAATAATCTATTTTCTATTTGCTAAAAAAAACTTTAATATATATTAACATAAGCTATATGCAGAAGATATATATTCTATGGTACACAATCAAACAACACAATGATTACAGCAGAAACTTTCAAGATTTTCAACATATCAACATGAGATGTTGCCCTATTACTCAAGTTTGGGATAAACTTGAAATTAAATTAATATTCTTTGGGTTTGCATTTTTAATTTTTAGAAAACCTCACCCACTGCAGATTCTCACTCTACCAGAGCCTCCTCCAAAGGAGATAATTTGCAAAGATCAACACTCAAGGAACTCCATAAAATCTAGTTCAGTTATGAGGAAGCCCTGATATTTGTTCTTTCTGCCACGTGCAATTTGTTTGAACATTAATGGTACTTCAAAAGAAATGAACTTGCAGTGTATTGCCTTTGACTCCAGCTACAAGAAGAAATTACCTGAGAGCAAGATAAGGTGCAAATACTAAGCACAAACAGCTCTTCCACAAGTACTCCTTGCACAATAGCATATTTAGTGTATTTGACATCTGGCGAGTATCAAGCAGAAGATGCCAAGTGAGGCATTATTCTTCACAGCCACAGCTGCTGTGGGACGGCAGTTTGTCAGCTGCTGTTCTAGCCTAGTTCCTCCAGCTATTTATGATATTACATGTATCCAAAGCAGATCTTTATAATATTATTTGTGACAACAGTTTCAGCTCTAGAAGGATAACAAACACATGCAGATCTCTGAAGTGTTAATCTGGTCTGTGATCCAGTGCCTTGTCCAGCCAGTTCAGGTCCGGAGAGCCACAGCAGCAGAACAGGGATGCTAGCTGCCTCCCTCTGCTAGCTCCAAGGGAGAAGGGTCTGAATGCTCGAGCTCGTGGGCTGGCAAAGGCACAGACAGACGACACGGACATACAGATGGTGTCTAAACATAGGCACCATGCTGATCAAGCAATTAGCCAAGTAGGACAGCTTCAACATAGCTATAAAAAAAAGTTATGCACATATATGCGTGTATCCAAAATACCCATCTTTTATATGTTACCTTACTTATAACTGACCTCTGTAAGTGACCTTCCTTGTAACTCTATGTTTTATCTATTGTTAAACACCATTTTCTACTCTGGAAGAGGACACAAAAAGTCTACCTCACTGCCATCACCACCACATCTTTTGGTTTTACTATTCAGCCTGTCCTTCCTCTGCTGGATTTTTTCAAGGATGAGCACAAACAGTTAAGTGCATTTATAATTTTCCATGAAGTGAGTGGATTAGGAATATCTAAATAAGAATAGGAAACATTTTAGCCTGAAATACTGATGAGCGCTATTTTGTGAACACTCACAAAACCAAACATTTCCACAAAGAAGAAAAGCAGTTTCACACACAGAAAGGTATGTGGAAAAAAAAATTGTATGTGGCAAGCAATAATATCCTAATTTATGCATTCCTGATCAGAATAAAATCACTGAACATGCTAAGTATTTTAAACTAATGAAGTTTCCTAAACTCTGTAAAAATTACATTTGTAAGTTTTGGTTGCTAGCAATTCTTTGTAAGCTGGAACTCAGAAGAACCCTCTTCAAAATCACATTAGATATGTTTCTTTAATTAACTGAGTGGGTCATTACAGTAGCGTATTCTCTCTTCTGAGGATCAGAACAATAGCTTGTTTACAACACTTTGAATTCCACTAAAATCTACAGAGAAAGAAACTTGGTCTTGAAACACAAGTTAAGATCTGTTCTTCATAAAACAGAGTCAGGGAATATCTCTGCATTTTGTTACAGAGCCCAGATTATAAAACCAATTCGACTTCTGTCGCTAGAGTTAGACCCACCTCAGTCACAAGACTGAAAATCTGCACAGATGAAACTGTACAAATGGTTCAATGCTGAGAACATATTCTGCTTACAAAATAACTAGGAAAACATGAGAACTGAAAATCAATGTTAGTGATACCTGCTTTTTAGCTCCCTGTAATGCATTTTCTAATTTTTCAGCTGTTAACTGGAAAGGGTGACTTCCTCCATCAGATACCTACAGAACAAAAAAAATCAAAAAGAATAAAAAATAGTTAAAATATAAAAAAATAAAAAATAAGACAGTGAAGAGACACTCCCACCTACTGAAAATACAATTGCTGCTGGCTTTTATAAAATAACAGAATCTGAAACCAAGATCAGTCTTTTCTATATAATCCAGTCAGCGACTTACAGAAAAACTTGAGTACTTGAAAGGTTGTTTTTTTTCCCTCCGACTGTATCATCTGGTCTTATAAAAGATGCTATCCCACTTTGATTTGCCTCACAGATTACTGAGCTTTCAAAGAGAGAACCAATCTTACACAACTTATGTGGTAGATACATCTTTCAGTGCTTAAGGAGAAAAATTTGAAAACCAAATTTACTCGCAGTAGGAGCGACACTTAGAGCTGACAAATTACAGTTCAGCATGTCAGTGCAGAACAGTGTCCACACAGAACAAACATAATCCTACACATCTGAAGACACCAGCCTCCTGTCATGCTGCCATCTGAGAAAAAGAGAGGCTGTCTCTAAAAGTGCTAGACTAGTCCCATCTCCACTTGCACTCAGTTTGCATTTTCAGGTTTTCTTGATTGTTTGTGAAACATCTGTTAATGTAGGTGTATAGCTGAAGCCTCACCTTGCTGAACAAGGGCACATGAACAGGCTGTATTCCGCCATATAGCCATGTTTTTGAATTTATACCACCATAGTATGGAGCTGGAATAAGATATCCATCTACAAACATTAAAAAATGAAATGAGCATTTCTCATGAGCAATTATTTTGCTATACTGTAATAGTCTAAACTGACAATCTAAGAATGTGGCATCTGAATTAATCTCAAAGCTTTCACTGTGGCATAAACCTATATTTAAACAAAACTGAAAATTTAGTGTACATCAATCAACCTGAATTCTTTCACAATATTTTTCCTTAACATTTGCAATAACAGATTCGACAGTCATATATATTTTCAGTAAAAGGGAATGGACCTGATCAACTACTTGCTCTATTTATTTATTTATTTAAATAATAACAACAAATAATGATTGTGCTCTCAATTTTTTGCTAATGCCCTGTTACTATCGATTTTTCATCAGCATTTGCTGCAAATCTCATCTACTTCTTTCTAGTTGCCAAGGTGCTATTTCACAGCCAGGGAGCCTACAGCACCATGGAAGTGTTTCCCTCCTCATTTTTTTGCTGTGAAGCAGCCCCAGGTTGGTGTTTTCCTGGAGATACTGCAAAAGCCCTGCGTGATGGGGTTTCAGAGGGGACAGCGTGGGCTTCCTATGTTAATCAAGTGGTAAAAATGAGCCTGTCAGCATTCAAGCAGAAGAATTCCTGTTAAAACTGTGCAAATACAATGAAATCTGAATATTTTAAAATAGACATGGATACAAGTAGCCTTCAGTAAACATTTATCATTTAAAACTAAACAAAACTAATTGGTTTCACAGTGCTTTTGCCACCAATCTGCTGAAGTCGTTGCAGTAGGTTACTGTACATCACTCCACCCTCCTCTCAAGGGCTTCTGGTGCCCATAACAGGGTGCTATGGGGGTGGCACAGCCTCCTGCACTGGAGGCCACATAAGTCATCCTGCTCATCCTCCTTCCCTGGCAAGTCTTCATGGATTTCCCCATTCTCAGCTCTGTTGCACACCTATGCTGTTTTCTTCATTCCAAACCAGAGGGGAAACCATTTTCCCTTATTGAGCTCTCTTTTTCCCTCCTGCTGTCGGCCTCTGCTGTGAGCAGACTGTTTCCCGGGACTCCGCTCCTTCTGCTTTGCATTCTCACCTCTGCTTTCTCCTCACCATCACCCAGGAATCCCTCTTTGGCTGCAGTTCCATTCCGTGTCCCAGATTCCTTCTACATGTTTCCCTTACTATTACCTACATTTTCCCTGGGTTCCAGATTTAAACCCAGTCCACATCCCTCCCTGTGTGCCCACCCTCTCCAGCTTCCACCATGGTTCCCACTTCTTTTTCTCGCACCTTTTCAAAACACACTGTATTCTCTTGATGTCCTTGTCCTCTTCCTATAGCGCTGTTAAAAACTACAGGTTGCATTCCAGAAAGCAAGTGGGCCTGCTGATACCTCAAACATTTTCCACCATTCTAGAAATAGAGGGAATATTTCAAACTCTGCCGGTGACAAAGAAATACCATGCCTTGCTTCATTCAGGCAGTTAGAATAACAGGAGGCTGTCAGAAGTCACCATGCGATTATATTCACTGCTAACATAGGTTTTTAAGTAAAATAATAATTTTTACTCACCATCAGGGTCACATAATACAGTTGACAGAGTAGCAAAAACAGCACAACAGCCATTCATAACAGTTATCTGAAAGAATGAGTACAAACTTTCATTTAGCAATGAAATATTTAGCAGAAATATCAGCACTTGTCTAGTTTAAATTCAAAAAAACAGAGTGAAAAAGCTACACTATTGCACTTGTAACACCAAGTCCTTGAGTGTTACGCATGGATCACCTTTTCAAATGGAAAAGTAACATTACTGAGACTTCTGCAAATCTGGGATATATCCCTCCTGTCACATCTTGATGACATTTGTGTTCAAATTTACTCAGCTTTATCAGGTTAAGAAAAATAAGATACAAAGACAAAGCACTTGTCTTACATGTTCTGGACTCAGTGCTTTTGCAGCTCTGGCATAGTCAGTTAGAAATTTGGCAATTTCTTCTCTGAAGCTGAAAAACAGAATTAAAGTCAACTGTGCAATCATGTGATTCTCAGGAGAACAACAAACAAACAAACAACATCAAACCAAAACCCCATAAAATAAGACACAGAAGAATTAAGTTTACCAAAAATGGAACAAACACAATTCATTCATTCTGTTGTGAAAGCCTAGAAGTATTTGATTAAATAATATGATTTCCTCAGATATCCAATGTGCTACATTTTGTGAGACAGAAGGACAGAGAAGCCACCTCTTACCTTGAATAACAGTGACTGTGACTCAACTATTACTGCTATACACTATGAAAATGAGAAAATAAAGCATCTTTGAGCCTGAGTGGGATCTGGTTTTGGAGAAAGGACAAGAATTTGGTACCACAAACAGTGAAACCTGAGTCAGCAATGATTCTTTAGACCAAGACAGGCTTTCAGCCCGAGTGACGACAATGGTGGAGCTTCTGTTGATCTTCAGGGAGTCAGTATTTCACATCTACTCTTTACAGCCCCTAGAGTTTCAGTTTATCCCCCAGGGAAAGCAGAATGAATGATTCCAGCAATGATTCACCATAGCTCAGGACGAAACATCAATACATGCTCTCTTGCTTGCCAACAAGCCCCTGGATCTTTGACCTTTGGTGTTCTAGATCTTTGTGGCACAGTGAGGATGGGGAGAAAACCAGAACAATAATCAGAGAAGTAACTCAGGAACAGGAACCCAAAAGCTTGCCAGCATGCAGGTAACAGTAACACACCCACCCTTCGGGCTTACCGGAGGAATGAACCACACCCAGCTCCACACAAGCCCCAACTAGCACTGACCAAGAGCAACGGGATGAAGGGGAGAATGAACTTCTTACCTTCTAGTACCTTCTGTATCAGAATACTGGAAAAATTCAGGCTCCAGATAATTCATGTCAGGTCTTGTGAGCTAGTGGCATGAAAGAGAGACACTGTAGAACACAGTGTTCTGCTGTAGCAGAGTAAAACTTGCTTATTTTTTAAAAAGCAAACCTATTATTTAGTAACATTAAGGAAATGGAGAATATAAAAATTCATGAGTAACAATTAATTTTATACTTTGCATTTGTGTTTATCAGTTTTAAGATATTAGAAAATAACATTAAAACATCAAAGCAAAAGAAGACAATAATGAAAGAATTATTTATTGTATTGTTCTGTCATATATTAAAACAAGTTCCGAATAACACATCGAGGAAAAGCATCCCAGCATTACCTAAGAGATTATGCAGCCACTTCTGAGATATACCAAAGCTCAAACACAACTTGCAATATTTATGATATCAGCTTTTAATTGACATGTCAACTTTGATGAGCTTCCTAACCAACAGAAGAAAGGTGGCAGCAACCCTATCTGTTACAGAAGAAAACTAGATACATTGTCAGCAGTGGTTTTCTTGCTCTTGAAGAAGGTGTCCCTCCTGAAACCTGGCTCAGTGCTATATTCATTGTGGCATCGATATTGGTTTACTTCCAAGAAAAAAAGAACCCTCTCCAGTTGCCAGCACTGCCACCTCATCATCTAACCAATCTGTACATTGTGCTTATGCCCAACGCTCCACCACAAACACTGCAAATGCACGAGCAGTTGTGCTAACGCGAATTCATCACCCCACCGGGCTCCCAGCAGATGAGCTAGAACTAACAGCTCTGAGGAAAACCCTTCCTTTAAAGAACATGCAATTTCCCACAGTTGCGTTGCAGACTGGCTCTTACAGCCGTGCACAGCAGCAGAACATCTAGGTTGCAGCTTTAATTTTTGCTGAAGTCTGAATTTCATGTATGGAGCATTTTCAGTCAAAGTTTTGGCTTTGCCATCAGAAAGGTAAGCATCTTCTTAGGCCAAGATTTTCCCCTCAGAAAATACACTTCTTCCTGAAAGCTACCACTCCAAAGCAGTATTTTCTGCTGAAACAGGAACAGAACCGCGTCCCCGTTCTGTTTGGAGTATGGGTTCAATCAAATGTGAATGAAGTTTAAGCAAAACCAAAACTATTCTGGTTTTTAAGCAGGGGCAAGTTTTCAGTGTAAATGCTGCACGGCAGATGAATTATTTCCGAGCGTGCAATGGGAGCAGCACACACAGACACGCAGCGCGCTTCCTCCTCAAAGCTGCTGGTCAGGGCGCGGCAGCCCCAGCCCTGCGCGTTACTTGGCCTGAGCTCAGTTGCCAGCCGGACCCTCGGACTCGCCGAAGGCGAACTGGCGGTCAAATCCCGGTTAGTCGGCAGC